GTTTCTGATTGATCACCAACAAACAATCATGTCGGTACTGTTGAATTGTGGTGTGGTTATCTCTCACAGAAGTAGTCCAAACACACTCCCACCACCACAAGTAGAATGACAATAGACTTGACATGTTACATTATTACACGCGCCATTACAATAACGTTATTTGATTAGATCAATCAATCATTTAATCATATCTTCCCCAAAATACATATCAAAACTCGAATAGTTCGCGCCTTGAGGGTTAACCTTCCTTGTCTTCTTCTGAGTTGGTGTAGATGGTGATGACATCATTGTAAATGAATATAGATAGATATTAATTTGTATTTAGTGAATAATTATTTAGAAGAATGAAATAATAACTTCAAATTCTGTATCCTATTTATCCTCAAATAATGATCATAATCACGGATAGACTCTATGATAAGTTATTAGGAAGTCAGTTTGCAAATAATATCTATCTTGACAAACTACAAATTCGCTGGTTCCTTTCTTCCATGACGAGTCCTCAATGGAAGAATAAGAGTGCACCAATTTGTTCAACTTGTTTTTTGCAAAGTCGATAACACCTATTTTATAACCAGTAAACTCGAGTTTACAGATTTAAATCATTTTACAAAGTCAATTTGGATGATGGAGGAAGAGAGGAAGAGGAAATTGAAGTACCTCATATATGTTTAAGGTTACTGAGTTAGATTTGAAATCGAAAGCGTGATATGAGGCTTCTAGAGAATGTTGGGAATAGGATATCATTAAATATATTGATCATGACCACCAGAAGCTAACAGAGAAACTGGTACTGAGAGAACGGACATAATGCCAACACTTTGGCGGAATATATAACATCTCACCTTCGTTCAATATACATTCGGTATAAGTTGCCTTTGAAAAGTCTGGGAATTGTTCCAAGTCTGGATGTTCAACATCAACCTTGTAATGAACGAATGATGTTAGTGAGTCGGTGAATAGGTGAGTGGAAGTGTGGCAGAAGGGTAATTACTTACTCGGCTGGTATTGAATAACATTGATGAGTCATGAGGGTAGACGTATTGGGATTGTTCAACGGCGTAGAGACGGATATACTTTGATCCAACGACTTGGCACAAAAGGTTGTGATGTGGATCGTGGTGCAATGGTGTTGTGGTACCCTTTGGACCAAAACCATGCATTTACAATCATTACCGGCTCTGATTCATCATCATCATCGCAATCATCATCATCACCAAGGTCTGATATTGACATGGCACAATAATCTGGCGTGGCTATATCACTTCGCAACACAGGTATTTGATCAAATAGTTGTGTCTGTGCCAGGTATCCAGTGGCCATGGTCGTGGTCGTGGTCGTGGTCGTCGTTGTTGTTTCCTCAGACTGAGCTTCAGTCGCAGTGCCAGTGATGTACGTCTCAATAAACTCTTGAATTGTTATCAATTGTTGTGACCAATCTGCATCGGTATACTGGCGACCGACCTCGATGGGAACGGTGCGCATGCCCGCCACACGCTTGAGATACGACATGTTGCTCCAAGGACGCGTGGATAGTGCCGGCCAGTGTGACATTGCTCCAGTGATCACAACAGGTGTATGAGTCTTCATATTGTCATTCCAAAACACCTGTAATGGCGGTGCCACCAATCTTGGTATCATACATTGTTCAGACATCTCCAAGTGTAGCTTGAATGTGTCTGATTGTGGGGCATGCTGGCTCGTTGTGAATGCCTCTGAGTTTGTACTTGTGCTTGATGTGGCCGTGTCAACATGTTGAGGAGTCAATGCCAATGATGTGATGACATCAATCATCTGATTCACAAGCACATTGAACATGTTGCCACCAAGTAAAAGAGCACAATCAAGTTGTTTCATACACTTCATCCAATCCATTGACTGTTGATGTTGTTGATGATGTTGTTGCATGCAGTAGACAAGTATTATTGATGCATATGAGTAGATGTCTCGATATAGGACATTGACATCCTTCCAATTGCCACTGTGAATGAATTGCCACATTAGTTGTACCAGTGAACTTGCATGATTGATTGTACTTGATGTGATTGACGATGAATCTACATCATGTTGTAAGCACTCAATCAATGAGGCCACATTAAACAGATTGAGTTGTCTGGTTGACTCAATAACTTTATGTTCAACAAGTTTATGATTACATCTCTTGTACACATCGATGAACTCATCGTTGATCATTATGTACCTATTCTTGTTATCGTTGTTGTCGTCGTCCATTCATTCATATATCTGTATCTCTTTACATTCATGTTATGTGGTAGTTGGAAGAATGATCATGAGTGAGTGGCAACACGAACACAAAGTACGCGCGACGCGACATTGGGTGATCGTGATATAGTTTATTCTTTGGACCTGCCTCCCTATCCATCTCAATCAGCTCAACATGATTGGTCGACTGATTTAGGGCGAGAAGTGGAAGTTGTGTGGAGTGGCAGCGGATGAGGACGTGGTGGGAGGTCGTGCAGGCTCGGGCAACAGACTTATCTTGCTCGAGTTGATGTTGACGGTGGGTGAAGCAGTGGCAGAGGATGCATTGGAAGTGTGATGAGCACTACATACACATCCACAGCCTGTTGGACAACTGCCATATGATTCGAACCACTTCTTCATGTGATCGCTGTGGCCGCCATGTCCACACTGCACACAGAAGCTGGATAGGCCGCGCACCGACAGACGACAGATGGCGCACTTGAATATAAAGATCTTGCAGTAGGTGCAGAAGTTGTCAGCGAGTGGTCTCTGACAACGGATGCAGCTGATGTGGAACTGGATGCTCCTGGCCGGGCCGCCACCACTGACTCCTGTGGCGATGTCCTGTTGGTGATGGAAGTGCAGGAACTTCATCGTCTCCGCGCGCTTCTCTAGCAGCTCCCAACGGTACAGCTGCTCGGCGTGCATCATTATCAGATTGTCGTAGTGGCGCAGGTTGTTTGGAGACAGAAGACAGAGCGAGGGGTCGTAGGAGAGCACGGGTGTGGCGCCCACCGCCTGTCCAATGTGCTGGTCCAAGCGATGGTAGGATCGGCTCACCATCGAGTCATCCAGGAAGTTAGTCAGTCCGGTGCTGTTGAATGAATGGCTCATGTGCAGTGGCGACTGGGGCGGCATCCTGGATTCGAGGGGCGGTGAGGTGATGGGCATGGACTGCGTCTTGGATTGCTTGGTCAGGCGTTGGGCAGCCATCACCAACATGCACACAAGCATCGAAAGTGTCTGAGTGTCTCCAATCTTCCTGTAGTGGGTGAATAGTGTCTGGACAAAGGGACGGCCGAGTGGATTGTGGATCCACAGGTCGTCTGCGTGGAGAGCACTCTGCTGCTTCTTGCCCGAGTTGGCCGTGATGAACAGCTTGGTGTCGGTAAGCATGTTGATGGTGGACCACAGCTTGACCAGGTCCTTTCTATGTACAGACTTGGCCACATTCTCATTGTGCTTGCAGATGTGACTGATCGAGCCGGACAGCGTGTAGTTCTTGGCCAAATAGATAGAGGTTTGCGAGAGTGGAGTATCAATAATCTTCACCAGGTGTGACATTGGTGATGATGATGTGCCGCCAGTGGTTGTGATCAAGGCAGAGGAGTGTCCAGAATGATTGGATTGATTGCTAGCCATCAGAGGTGAGAGTGTGAACGTCGTCGGTGATGAGCTAAAGCTTGGTGACATCTATTTGATTGAATGATTGTATGAATGAGTGAGTATAGGAGTGAGCCAGAAGGAAGGATCTTGAACAACATACATATGAGAGTATTGGACTGTCGTATTTGGCAGGTGATGTTAGGATGGTGGAGGAGAGCGAGTGTGTTAGCTTGCCCTGCTGCTCACCGGTCTTGGGCTGGACGCTCGTGGCAAGAAGGTCTTTGTAGGTGCGTGGCGCATGGGTGTTGAGTAGGGCGGGACGTCCGACCGTGTTCTTGAAGATCACCAGACGGTCGCCGCCGCCAAACACAGCACCGCTCAGACGTGGGCATGGCAGGGTCTCGATGGGGTTGCGGTTGGAGGGCGATGACAATAAAGGATTGCGGTGTGATGACAGTGAGAGGTCGGAGGAGACGCTTGCTGATGGTGCAGCGGCCCACAGCATCGACTCCTTGTACGAGTTGGACAAGGGTGATCGATCGTTGGTTGGCGTGCGCAGTATAGGTGGTGAGTCGATGTCGGACGACTTTGTCTGTGATGTACCAAGGCCTGCTATCAGCTGTTGCTTCTCATAAGACTTGGACATTATCGATCTATTGTTGTTGTTGTTGTTGTCGGCTTGTAACAGTTTGTTATTGCTGTTGCTGATGACGTTGTTGTTGTTTGAAGATGTGGTCGATATCATTCTTGGACTTGAGTGTAATATGTTGTTGTTGTTGTTGTTGATGAGTGCAGACAGACTTGATGATGTTGGTGCTGCGCCAGATGTGGATGTTGAGGTGGTTGATGTAGTTGTCGTTGTTGTTGATGTTGTTGTCGCTGTTGGTTGAGTGGAGTCTTTACTATTACTGCTATTTACACTATATATATCTAATTTGGGCACTTGTCTACCTTGATTATGATGATGAACATGATTGTGAGAATGATCATGATTCACAAGATCATTCAATATTGATGTGCTACTGCTGCTGCCCTTGCTCGTGGTCATCGATAATCCGCTGTTGCTGCCACTGCTGCCAATACTCTTGACACTGCTGTTGTTGTTGACACCAAAGCTGCCAGCAGCTGCATTGTTAAATCCATCCAATAGATTGTTGTTGTTGTTGCCCTCGCCCATGATGAAACTGTCTTGCATTCGATCGTGAAGATGATGATTGCCGCTGTCGTTGGACCCGTTGCTCCTGGCATACGGGTGATCAGCGGCGGCCACTGGATTGGGACTGGCCGGAATGATTCCCTTGGCCCTGTCCATCACCTCTTTCTTGACCAACGACACCAGAGTCACCAAGCATTGCTCAAGACATGGCTTGCCCAGCCTGCTCGCAGCTACTTCGTGTAGAGTGGCGAGGATGTTTGTGTTGGTCTTGAGCGAGGTGGTGCAGGCTGCTGGGATGCACTCAAAGCGTGGCGGGGCACTCTGTGGATACATCGAGGGGAAGGTGGCGCGCAGCTGGACGGTGGTGATGGAGAGTGAGTCCTGGAGGAAGGTGTCGTCTTCGTCGTGTGAGGACGACAGGTCGGTCATAAGGTTGCCCTTGCTGTTACGCAGTGATCCATTCTCGTTGTACATGTTCAACACGGTGCAGCTAAAGATGCACATCCTCTGTGCGAGGTTGACCTGCTCGATCTTTAGCGACTTGTCAATGAACTTGTTCTGAATGATCTTAAGCTCGTACTCCAACTCCTTTGGTCCAATATATTCTTCGGCTGGATGATGATGATGATGATGTTGAAGTTGTTGTTGTTGTTGCTGCTGTTGTTGTTCTTCATTCTGTTGCTGTGACTTATAAATGATGCTATCCAATGCCTCTTTGTTGTCATTGGACAATACTGAATGCAGACTGGACGTTGAGCTGTTGGACATCATCGAGTGCGACAGGACTGAGATGTCGCCGCCACCCGGTGACAGATTGACATTGGGCGTCGAGCCCAACAGGGGCGTGGAGCTGGTGAAGGCAATGCCGCAAGTGGCCTTGTGCGAGTTCTCCAGCTTCCACAATCGTAGATTCTGATCCTTTGACCACGAGACGATCTGAATGTCCTGATCATTGGGTGTTGTCTTGACTCTAAAGTCCACTGCTCGCACACAATCAGAGTGTCCACTGAATGTTGCCACTGGTGACGACAAGTCATTCACATTCCAAAGTCTAATACTATTCTCTCCTCTATCTGATATGGTAACTATTCCTCTTCCAATAGGCTATGTTGTTGTTTGTTGTATTAAAGTTAGTGTTTGGTTGATTGATTGAGTGCGCGATTGAGTAAGTGGACCAACTTACAAGGTACTTGGCACGAAGGACTGGATGAGCTGTGGTGATTATGGCCCTGGGTTGAAGACTGGGATAGGACCATATCTTGACGGTCTTGTCTTGGCTACATGTGAGGATCTCGGTGGGATCGTGCGGCGACCAGTCAATGCCATAGACCTTTGAGGAGTGCACCGTTGTGTTTAGCTCTATATTCTCCTTTCTTATGTCCCATATCATCAGATTGCTTTCGTGTGCCGATGCCAGGATGTGTGAGTTGAACTTGTTCCACTTGACCTGGATGGCGCCCAAGATGTGTGAGCTGAGCGACTTTAGGCGCATCACTCGCTTGGGCGATCGAAGATCCCAGAGATTGACGTATGAGTCTGCAGAGGTCGTCGCCAGGATGTTCTGTTCAAACAAGCTCCATGAAAGGTCTGCAATCGCTCTGTTGTGCGACACAAACTGTACCTGCAAGGGGAACTTTGGAGAGTTGATGTCCCAAATCGATGCGTATTGATTGGACTGTTGTTGTTCATACGAGAGGAGTTAGGTTTGATTGTATAGGTCATCAACAAAATACAACACATACGGATGATGCTATTAGGTTGGGAGAGAGATTGTTCCAGTCGACACCGCCAACCTCCCACTTGCTCTGCTGTTGGAAGCACTTGTAGTTCTTGAGCGTGTCGAGGTCGACGATCTGCAGGAACTTCTTGCCTCCGAGACACACGTAGTTGCCCTCCTTGTTGACAGCAATCGAGTTGATGATCTCATTATACTTTAGGTTGTAGTTGTGTCGGTATGTGTTTGTTGGTGCCGCTGCTGCTGCGCCTGCTGAAGTGGTTGCTGCTGTCATTATCGGGATCGATGACGGTGCTGATGCCGGTGCTGCCGTTGTCGTTGCAGATGTATTATTATGTTGGTCATACATTGAATATTGATGTTGTTGTTGATATTGTTGGTTCATAATGATTGATTGTTGATGATAGTTCTTTCAAAATTTGATTGATTGATTGTATTCGTACAAGTGATGATGTTGTTATCCCCTGTTTCTACTTGCTGCAGTACTGCTGTGGCTACCTATTCCAATTACAATTGATTGATTGATATGAATGAATTGATCGATAGATATTAATATTAATGATAGATAGTCATCATTATCATCATAAGTTCTGTAAATATATCAGTAGTAGAGTGTTTATAAATAGTAGTAAGTTTAAGTAATGTATAAATAATAGGTGATCGTTGTATGTTGTTGTTGTTGGATTAATGATGTCTGAATGAATGAATGAATGAATGATGTTGTTTGTTTGTTTTGTTTGTTAAGTAAGAGAGGTGTGAAGTGGGGAAGGAAGGGAGAGCGAAAGTGTGAGAAGGTGCACCTTGGCTTTGGAAAAAAAAAGACAGCCAAGTCAAAATGGGATGGGAAGCTCACCAAAGTTGATTTTGAGACCCATCGATGCTGAAGTTAGGTCAACTAGTTGCACATCAGCATTGGGCTTGATAGATGATCTATCAACAGAACCCTGTGATGAGTCTATCAGATTGATTCTACATTCATTGTCTTGATATCTCGAGACGAGGGAAAGGTCAGGTTTATTGTATCAATAATAATAAACGATTGTATGGATGTAGAACTTGTAGTGTATGTATGTGTACACCTTTACAAAGTTGTGTATTTATTTTAACTGTAACAAATAATAACATGGCTTCTGATTGGTCACTTAAGAGCATCATACTTTGAGATAAAAGATACCGGGGTTAGAATAAAAACGAACAAAGAACATGCATCGAATCGATGTGAGGTCCATCCATCTTGTTGAAAATATCTACTTTGGGTTCGGTCCTATCTTATCATCTTTTTGTTTAATGTTATTAATAATCAAATTGTTTACAAAGATAGATATATATACATATAGAGATAAATAATAATAATATGTATAATAATAATAATATATTTATTGGTACATCACCATCAGCATCAACAATAATGATGGTGATGATTGTTTTGTCAATACTGAGTGTGTCTGTATCTGCTGCTGTTACACCATCAGTAAAGATTGGTGAGGATTGGTCGTTGCCAACTTGGTTGACCAGTGTGGCTCCAAACTCTGGCTTCTTCAGTGAGGAGGCCGACCACACCTATAACGTGGACCTGCCAGTGTTTGACATTGCCTGGAATCAGATCAACCCAGCTCGTGGTGTCTACGTCTACAACATCTCTGCAACAATACAAGGAATGCCAATCAACTCCTTTGCCACACAGAACTCAACACTCAAAGGTCCATTCTGGATGCGTCTATGGACGAGCTCAGAGCTGTAAGTCCTTCCATCCATTCATTCTTTCAATCAATCATTCATTCATTCAAGCTAACACAAATCAATACATAGATGGGCACCATCATGGATCAAGTCATACTGCAATGTTGGTGTCATTGGCGTGGACGATGACCAACAAGGACATCTACCTATTTGGGATGCATGTGTTTGGGGCGAGATCAAAGAGGTCTACAAGCATGTAAGTTGTGTTCATTGATTGAGTGATTGAGGATAGAGGCTCTAACGCGACCATTCAATCCAACAGCTATACTACACTCTTAACATGAGAGCCGACCCAAGATTGAAGTTTGTAAGTTGTAGTCCAGCTGGCGGCAATAAGGTCCATGCACATAATCTGACTCACTTATTAATTCAATCACGATAGTTGTTCATTCCTGGAGCATTTGATTGGGCCGAGTTTGACTTCACCATTGTTGGCAACTACAGTGCAAAGACTGGATACAAGTATGATGACTTTAGAACATGGTTCATGGGCGCAATGTCTGATCTGGTACAGATATTCAATGGCTTTAACAATGATGTATCGGATGACTACAGTTACAAGCTGGTCTACACTGGCGAGGACTACCCATTCGACGTGGACAACTGGCCCGAGGACAAGAACAATCTGGCACGTGACGCCATAAACATGGGCATGGGCGTGCGCAATGGCATCACAGAGGTATTCAACTTCCATCTATCAAACATACCCTCGTTCGGCTACATTGTAGATTCAACTGGCTACATCGTCGAGAACAAGTCATGGCCACTGCTTACCAACCCCAATCGTGTGGTGGCCGCAGAGAATGAATGTTACACGGACTGCCAATACAAGGTACCTGCCAACCTCTTGTTCTACGCCATCAAGATGTCAAACCTCAAGGCCATCCAGATGGGCGTCAACTGGCTTTACGTGGTGCCCAGCCAGAGCAGGATGGGCGTGTACCCCGAGCACTGGAACTGGGTGCGCTACTCAATCGGACGCAGCCCATCCAACGCGTTTGAGGCGTGGGCTCAGCTGCGAACTGCCCAGGACACTTTTGACTCGAGCTACAACTTCAACTGGGATGGCAAGCCCTACGTAAAGAACTTTGAGCGTTACCTAACCCAGCGTGATGTTGTCGGAGGCGCCTACACAGTGGCCAAACTCAACAAGTTTAGCCAGGTCGTTGATCCCACCAACGGAATTTCATACGAGGGCCGCCAGACTCAGCTGGCCAACGGCAACAACTCGATCGCCTTCTTTGTGGACGACCGATTTGTCGCAACGACTGAGGGTATCTCTGTCGATGTCAAGGTGACGTACAACGATGTCACCGCCACATCGTGGTTGCTGACCTATGTCAATGGCGACGGTGTTCTCACCAACACCAGCGCTGTCGTCACCTCTGGCACGTCCAAGAACCTGACCACCGCCACATTCAATCTTGGCAGTGTTCGCTTCGATGGATCATTGTTACCAGGTAACTGCGATCTCAAACTATCTGTCACCGGTGCAAATGATGTTGATGTATGGTTCGTACGTGTGATCAAGACCACCGCAGTTGTGCCATCGACCACCTCCACAACCACCACTACCACAACGTCACCAACAACCTCAACTACATCATCCACTACTTCCACCACATCATCCCAATCAACCACCTCCACAACTACTTCACCAACAACATCCACTACATCATCCACTACTTCCACAACAACTCAATCATCAACCACCACATCTGGACCAAGCTCTGCCAGTGCCCTTCCAATCGCCCTTCTCCTTCCAATGATATTGGCGCTCATCATCTCTGTTATATTATTGTAATCCATGGACAAAAGTCCATCAACACCATAAACTTAACTTATTACATCACCTCCATTCCCCATCCCCTTGACAATGATTTATTGATTGATTGTATATAGTATCGCGAATGGGAACTCTATTATGAGCTCACATTCATCATGTGTATTATTATTATTGATTGGAGTGATTGGTCACAACACTACCAATGCTGATCGGAATAGCATTCGAATGGTAGTGGCTCATCGAACACTCTTGTGGTGATCTCGTAGCCATATCGTTGCTTGACACTGGGTATCAAGTCGCAGAGCACCCGCAGTGCATCCCACTGCTGCTCGACAATGTCCTCCTCGCCATCCCATTTGGACTGCTCGTGATTGATGTGAATGATATATGAATCAGGTTGCACGAGGAACTTGAAGCCCATGACAGCCATTGCGAACACCTGCGAGTTCTTGTCAAAGCCGTAGCCCTTGAAGCGCTCGTCAAACAGCTCGGTCTGCGAGCGGTTGAACAGCAAGTATGGCTCGTATATCCATCTGTAATCCAATTGATAGGCCTTACTCTCCTTATACCAACGTTCGTAATTGGTTGGTGAGTGGCACTTTGGGCAATTTTCCAAGTCTACGTGAAGATGGTGGAAATGATTGATCGATTGAGTTAGTGAATGATTGTTTGGTTGGAATGATTCCAAAGTGAGTGATTGGTGATTGATTGAGTGATGGAATGATTCCAGTTTTGTTTGATTGATGATTGATTGATTGGAATGGTTCCAGAGTATAGTTGATGATTGATTGGAGTGATTGATACATACTTGATGGCGAGACCAAACCCTTTTGAATAAGTTCCAGTAATGATGCCTTGTCGTTTGGCAGTAGACTGGGTTCGTATGATGATGAGAATGCTGGGAAGACAAAGGCAACCTTGTCCTCATTGCTCTGTGCCGCATGTATGTACGGTATCAGATAGTCGTGTGTGCCAGCCGGGATGATAAAGTCGGCATCCATCAGTAGCACAAAGTCTGTGCGCGAGCTGGTGATGGCCAGATTGCGCAGATTGTTCACTGGGTAGCGAGTCTTGTTGGCGTGAAACAAGTGAATGTCGGCAAACTCGCGCAGCAATGTGTTGTTGGCCAGTATCTTGTCGAGCTTGGGCAGGTCGACATTGGCGTCGCGAATCAACAACGCCACTGAGATTGGCGCGCGCCAACGGTCGGCCATTAGCGCGATCTTGTCCAATCGATCGACCGACGACTGGGTGACGATCGTCACAAAGTATTCCAGCTTCTTGACCTTTGTGGCGCTGTGATAGAATGGCTGCGTCTTGAACGTGGCCGCCAGGCCGTGGAAGAACTCATCTCTCGGCTTGCGCTTGAGCTGCTGCTTGGCCCTCTCTTCGCGCGTGTTGGTGTTGATGATGCGTGCGCTGATGCCGTGGCGTGGCCGTGAGTGTAGCTGAGGTGCCCGCTCGTGCGGGTTGTTCTGACCAGGTGAGTAAGAAGAGGCAACCGGGTTGCTCTGTTGCAGCACGCGGTCGGCCGCCTCTGCGTGTGATTTCTGCTGCTGCTCGATCGAGGCCACGGGCTCACCAGTCACATCACTTGGCTCGAAGGAGCTATGATCCAGCGATGGCACATACACGAGCACGGTGCACAGCAACATGACCACAAGCAATGCCAGCTGGATGTGTCTTCCTTTGAATCGAGATAGGCTGTGCATATTGTGTGTGTGTATGTTTGATTGATTATCTGTATGTTTGGTGGTCGTCGATAGATAAGTCTCTCAAGAATGTGATGAACCCTTCACCTGATGTTGCTGGACCACGCACAACAACAGGTCCACACCACGCGAGGCCTCTTGACTTCCCCCATCTATATTCAAATAATGACCCGATTTTTGCGATTTTGTTAGCTTCGCAAAAACACCCTCGAGGGAGGATGAATCCCCGCTTGGTTTGGATTAACCAATCAGGTGTCGCACCAGATTTATCGTTCTGATGACGTAACATTTGATATAACTGTTGGGTTGTTTGGCATCACACAAATGAGTGTAATAATGCAAATGAACGATTGTTCCATTTTTAGTCTTTGAACCTTGGTAAGATCATCAATCAAACATTCGTCAAGGTCGCAGAATAGTTGTCCATCATCAACATGCTTGCCAGTTACAATGGCACTCCATTGACACAATACTTGGAGTAGAAAGCCAGAACATTCTTTTGTTTGTACAGTGACTTGCGAACCTTGCTTCGTCGCTCAAGTAGTATTTGTTGAGCTTGCTCCAATGTCTTGTGATGACGGTAGGCCACCCAACAGATGGCAACTGCGCCACTGCGACCTCGGCCAGCCTTGCAGTGAATGAACACATTGTTGCCAGAATCGACCTCTTGCTCAATGAACTTGATGGCTGTGCGCAACTCGCTGAGCTCAGGCTCATAGTGATCGACGGTGGGCAGGTAGAGCTGCCTGATGTTGTGCTTGGCGTACAGTGTGACAGGTCCGCCGTACTCGTCACACAGGTTGACTACGGCGCCAATGTTGTTGACCAGCAGTTGTTGCATGTTCCAAGAGTAGGGTGCGGCGCCAAGATACACGCCGTCGCCAATGCGATCGATCAGATTGCCTCGCAGGCCAGAGTATTGCATTGCCAACACGAATGGTGCCGTGAAGAAGTGAAACACTCGACCAAAGTATCGAGCGATTGGTAGTGGCAGCAGAGCCTTGTGAAACAAGTATACAGAGGAGGCAAACTTCAACAATGAGAACATATAAAACAGTGTTGTACTGCTGTAAGCGAATGGATTGAAATATCCAATCAATCCACCTCCTGCTGTTGCTCCTGTATCTGTTGTAATATCAACTGTATTTGTTGATGCCATTATTGTTGTGTTGTATTGTTACTATAATATCTTGTATATGTTATTGTATTATTATTATTAATATATGTTTGATTAAATGATTGAATAATGAATGTGAAGAATGAATGAGTCACAACCAAGTTCCCACTTTTTGAACAAAGTTGAACAACTTTCGTTTTCTTGAATATTGAAGATAGAGATACAGATACAGGTAGATAGAGATAGATATAAAATATATATTTTTATATTTATGTATAGATATTTAAAGAAAGAATGAAGACAGGTCGACAGCTGACGAGTACGACGACGTCCAACAATAATACAACCACCTCAATCACTGCAACATCAATATCAAGATATAGGCTATTGTTGGGTGCTCTGTTGTTATTATCTCTGTTACTCACTGTTGCATGGATTGTGATATCGAGCGAGCAGCAGGCCGAATTGGAATCAATACCAACGCCTCACTTGGTATCACCACTGACAAACAATGAACATGTATTGTTCTTGCTGGGCAATCGTGAGTGGGGCCAACTCTCTGCACTGGCAGGCGGTGCAAAGTGTGGACACAATCAAACAGTGCTCGAACTCTCATACGACATGTCGCGGATGCATGAAGCTTCTGGCCTCTTCTACTTTGCCTCGGACATTGACACGACCAAACCTATGCGCAAGTGGCAGGTCCAGCTGCCCTACCCCGACCGCCAGGTCAAGGTGTTGTTTGGCATCGAGTCGGCTGGCAACAAGTATGGCATGTGCTTTAGCACACCCGAGTGCATTGAGTACTTCAACTGGACGATCAATTACCTGCCTCAACCCTACAACGATATTGTCGAGTCATACTTGTTCAAGCCCGACTATGATAAGTTCTACGCACGCGAGCTCGAGACACCATTCAACTTTGAAAGCATGATGCAGATGAAGCAGCCGGGCCGCATAGCATCGTGGTTCAACAGTATGTGTACATTGGCAACTGAGCACCAAACCGATGATGCAGAAGAGAGCGAGCGCGTCAAGTTCATGCGCCGCGTCATGGACAAGATGCACGTCGATAGCTATGGAGGCTGTTTGCACAACAAGGATGAGCCGCCAGAGGGTGGGCGATTTAGCAGTCAGCGAGACCTTATCAAGATCGAGGTGATGAAGACATACAAGTTCAACTTTGCACTGGAGAACTCCAACTGTCCATATTACTTCACGGAGAAGGCTCTGCAATGTTTGATGAATGGTATTGTGCCTGTGTACATGGGCCACGAGACAACATTGCAGTTCATGCCACCTGGATCATATATATATGCTAAGGATTTCAAGACGGTCACTGAGTTGGTGGATCGACTACATTATCTGGATCACAATGACACAGAGTATCGAAAGTATTTCGCATGGCGAGAGAATCCAGAGACATTGATCAAATGGGCCGACGCATTTCACGAGAACAATGATTTGTGCGATCTCTATTCCCTCTACATGAAGTTTAAAAGCAACATGGATACCTTTCCTCGCAAGCATGCCATTGCTGATCCCCAGGCAGTCGCCTGTCGCGAGGACTACCAACAAATTGAATAAATGGTTAACCCTTGCCCTTGCCCTCGCCCTCGCCCTTGCTCTTGACTTACATCGATGAGGGAAATGGGTTTGTTTTCCCAGGTTTTGAAAATGAATGAATGAACATTTTGAACGAAGAAAGTCAATGTATCATTCTTATGATGATGTATACAGATAATAGTGATAGAGATAGAGATAATATAAATACGTATATATGTATATAATTATAGAATAGTACATGAACAACAACAATGCAATCTATAACAAACCTTAAATCAATGTTTATTATGCTGTTTGTAATGTCATTGGCACTCACAGCAATGTTGATATATAATTCAGGTGAACGATCATCTACAACTACATCGAATCAACATAGTACTACGACGACGATGACGACGACGACAGCGACGACAGCTGGTTGGGGATTGAGTAAAGACAAGCCTTTACTATTTATATTCGCGACGACAGAGTGGGGCGAACCTTCACCAAAGGCAGGCAACTTCACATGTGGACACAACACCACAGTTCTCGAGATGTCGAACGACATGTCCCGTTTGAGCGAATCGAACGGACTCTTTTACTTTGCCTCTGACCTGCCCAAGGACAACAGCAACTGGAAAATCACCCTTCCCCATCCCGACACGATGGTCACGGTGATGTACGGTCTTGAAACGCCGCCGCACTACTTTGGCTGGTGCTATCGCGTGCCCGGCTGCATCGAGTACTTCAACTGGACGATAGGGTACGCGGCGCCCTACAGCGACATCACAGAGACCTACTTCAGATTCGATGTCTATGATGAATTCTACAACAATGAGTTGAAGAGCCCGTTTAACTTTGACACGCTGATGGCGTTGAAGGAGCCGGGCAAGGTGGGCTCATGGTTCAACAGCTACTGCGTGGAGATCTCGGACGTTCATTCGACCGCGGAGAGCGAGCGACTCAAGTTTATGCGACGCGTGATGGAGAGGATGCATGTGGACAGTTACGGAGATTGTCTACACAATATCGATCTGCCGCCCGAGGGCAACAGGCAAAACCCTGGTAATGGCAGAGTCAAGTCGGAGATCATATCGCATTACAAGTTCTACTTTGCATTGGAGAACAGTAATTGTCCTTATTATATCACAGAGAAGGCCGTGCAGAGTCTGCTGCATGGCGTCGTGCCCGTGTTTATGGGCCACGAGACCACTCTTCAGTTCATGCCACCTGGATCATATGTCTATGTCAACGACTTCAATACGACCAAGCAGTTGGTCGATCACCTAAACTATCTGGACAAGAATGATGCAGAGTATCACAAGTTCTTTAAATGGCGCGAAGACATTGAGATCGTCAAGAAGTGGGGCGAGCTCTTTAAGCACAACGATGCAATGTGCGACCTGTACAGGCTATATAACAAGTTCATCCAGAATTATGACAGCTATCCAAGGAAGCATGCCATTGTCGATCCAGGAAGGAATCAATGTGAAGACCCCTACTCATTGATTATATAAATATAATATATATGTATATGTACAAATGAAAGGGAATGCGCATTGGCTTCCATCATGTCTAACATTGTTATTGAAATCGACTAAGTCAAGAGAAAGAGAGTGCACTAGTATACTTCTGCTGTTGTTGTTGATGATCAAACGCACTCTCTCTCTCTCACTCTGGTGTGTATGTATAGTTGTAATGTGAATGAATGAATGAATGAGAATGAGTGAGTAAGTGATCTAGCATCCACATGCACCTCCTTGCTGTTGAGACTCCTCATCTGATGATACTGTCTTGACCTTTCCACGTTTGTTATCATTGTCATCGGTGAGTGATGGTGTCTCGAGTATCTTGTGAGCCAACTCTTCGAAAGCCTGTTGGATGCCAATCTTGGTCTTGGCACTGCACTCTATGAAGAACATCGCCTTGCTCTTGGCAAACTCCAAACCTTCCTCACGTGATACCTCTCTGTTCTCCTTATCAATCTTGTTTCCAACCAATAACTTTACAACATTTGGTCTTGTGGCGAATGTCTCAACCTCATTCAACCAATACTGTAGATTCTTGAATGATTCTCTCTTTGTTACATCGTATGCTGTTGTTGTTGTTGTAGTTGTTGTTATCATTGTAGTTAGTGAGTGAGTGCATGGACATTATGTCGTGTCGCGCATTCACTTACTCAATATTATACCATGTGCACCACGATAGTATGAACTAATCAATGCTCTAAACTTCTCCTGACCAGCTTAGATATTAACATGTTAGTATAGTCACTAATGATGTTAAATGTTACTCTACCTACCTGTATCCCATATACATAGAGTGACTGTCTTGCCCTCGACCTCTACCGACTTCATCTTAAACTCCACACCTATAGTACATAAGATATCATCATCGAATGTGTCATCAGAGAATCTCTTTACAATTGATGTCTATTATTATTATTGTTGTTGTTGTTGTTGTTATTGTTGTTAGTGAACAGTCATATTCAATGAGTGTGAGTCACCTTTGAGTTAGATAAATACCTTTCCAACATCACTATCTCCAATCAATAATACTTTATAATTCTTATCCTCCATTCTGATTAATTATTATTTATGTTTATATATATATGTATTTATGTAATAGTAATAGTGTGTGAATAGAATGAATTACAACAAGTTGACACTCAATCCAATTGAGGATTCATGAATGAACACGAATAGCTCCCACGAAGTGGGTATTCAAGTGTGGTGGAACTTCAATAAAAGTCAAGTTCCTGTTTGTTTGGGAAGAAATAAAGTAAATAATAGAATTATATTATTTATAATATATTCTTTGGATATTTATTTAAGATACTTTGTTTAGTCTGGATTACCACCTGGATCACTACTCCAGGTCTCTTATCAATTAATTTGGTCATCGAAATCAAACTTTCAAACATTTGCCAGAGGAATACATCATCTCCTTTGACTTTGTTCAGGTCAATACCAACAATAACATGTGAAAGATGACTTTGAATTAGGTTGGAGTCTTCTTGATGGCGGGGTGCCGAATGTCAACAACACTAGCAATCAAGGTAAGTTTACAAATCAACCGATTATGGAGTCGGATATCGCAGCATTGTTCGTTCATCTTCGTATTGTAGTTGCACTCAATATTCAAATACCTTGATTGATTGATTGATTGAATGATTAAAAGGATGGAACATCCATTAGCAAAGCCGAATAAATAAATATCTATTTCCAATTTTGTGGGGTGATGTCGAGTCGTGTTCACCTTATGTGGGTATCACCCCATCTATCTTAGTTTGAAGACAAAGGCGAATGAAAACCCTCCCACACCTTCCAACCAAGTCACGCACCCTTAATGGACATTCTTTCATTCACATCAAGTCTCCTTTGTCACTTCAATCACATGCTAGCCTCCTTCCTTTGCGACAAGGTGTCGTGCGTGTATAAACACCAATAGTATAAGATATAGTCAGTTCTTCAACTAGTCAATCAAATCATTCAATCAATCAATCAATATATCACTTCATTCACCAACATAATGAACGACACAAATACAACAAGAAATAGGAACAACAACGACAACAACTAAAACAAACAACTAATGGAGAGTCAAAAGTCTCTAAACCATTCTTGTCTCCATACGGTTACAAGATACGTGTGGATAACTTCTTGATTAAAGTGTTTAGACTATGTACATCACTGGTCTGGGTATTCACTCTTACAAGTAAGTTGATTTACTTGAGCAAAGAAGGATCATTCATTGACACGTCATAATCACAGCCTTGGTATGGATAATTATACCTTTAGTATTTATTGTACTTAATCCAATATATAGAGCATTGGGTATTGCCAAGCATATGTATCCATTGGAGGTGATCAGTAGACTGTGGGCATTCTTAACATTGTGGATTGCAAACATTGAGATCGTCACAGAGGGCGATGAGAACTTAAAAGCCTGCGAGGACAAACCCACGATACTGTTGTATAGTCACAGCTCGACGATCGACCCCATGGCCATCCTGACCGTCACTCCGCTGCCTACAAAGTTCATCTTCAAGAAGGAGCTGCTCTACATGCTGCCCATGATCTTCCCGCTCAGTGCGCTGGTCGGCCACATCCCAATCGACCGCTTCAGTCGCGACCAAGCGGTCAGTGCCATCAACAAGGCGGCCAAACGCATCAAGGACAACAACACCTGTGTCGTCATCAGTCCCGAGGGCACTCGGTCACGTGACGGCACACTCCAAGCATTCAAGAAGGGTCCCTTCCACATGGCACTCCAAACCAAAGCAATGATAGCGCCAGTCTGTGTGTTTGGAAGCTATGAGCTCTGGCCCGTCTATCAATTCCTTCCCAACTCTGGAAAGATATTGTAAGCATGCATGCATATTGTAGATACTTGGCTGGTAACTAACACCTCCTTCTCCCTCACGTTTGTTAGTTTGCGATACCTACCTCCGTTCCAAGTGGACGATGATGCAAATGTGGACGAGCTGTTGGAGCGAACTAGGAACTGTATGGTCGAATCGATGAAGACACCACCAGCCAAGTTTGAGCCGCTCGAGGGAGCAGGCAAGTGCAATCATGCCATTATCACACTCTTTGTCTATGCTTCCATCATCTACTGTCTTTACAATTATGTAGTTTCAGGCTCTTTCTTTAGATGGTTCTAGCATCCATCATCAAATAACATCAAGCAAACTCTAAAGATCTTGGACTCCAATGTATGTATATTTGTTCGTATCCACTTAGTCATTGATTGGTTGATTGATTGATTGGACGATGAAGAGAGTGCCCCCCTCCATCATCAGCTCCCTCAAGAGAGAGAGTATGTGTAGTATGTGATGGGCCACCAGTGACAGACATGACTACTTCTTCGCAGGCTGCTTCTGTTTCGCTGACTTTTTGCTTTGTCCACCTGTTGGCAACTGTTGCCCCTTCTTTGTTTGTCGTTTTGGCTCATCATCCATCTTCACATCATCATCATCATCATCACCATCATTGTCTTCAACATCTGAATTCGATATGTTGACCTCTAATCCAGACTCGACATTCACATTTGATGTTGAGACAACAGTGTTGTCATTGTCGATTGTCATTCCAAGTTGTTCAGCTTGAGCCTGCACAGCATTGAACATTGGCATAATGATAGGTTTGTCCAACAGACGAATGCTTGCCTTATGTATAGACTTGATTGAGCCAGCCACATGTAGCACTCTAAAGTATATATCAAAGCCACAATACGTTGTGATCATTGACAATACAGTCCAGAAATCCCTATGCCATTCAAAGTTACATCTTATGATCATCATATTTGTAGCAGAGTTACAATAAATAACTATATATGATTGATAGTTAGTTAGATTGATTGAATGTAGTTGATTGATATGATATGACGTACACTTTAGAGACTTGAGGAATGCATGTGCTGTAACTGAACCAAGTAGATCTCGACATTTCTGCCCCAGTAATGCTTGACACCATGTAGATGATAATAGAGGTCTTGGTACTCCATTAATTGGTGACTCTTCTTGATGCCATATCAATTCAACCAACATATATCTTGACTTTAATCTCACCATCGTTATTATATACTAATCTAATGTCCTACTCGTCTTACTCGTCTTTGTTGTTGTTGTTCGTAACTCTTTGTTTGTGTGTCTTTGTGTTTGAAACTGTTTTCGGGTGTTTGGCACCAGTTTTGGAAGAGAGTGAAGATCATCAACACGATCATTCAATCATTCATTCATTTATTCATTTATTCACATTCATTTATAAATACTTACAACAAATATAGATATATATATTGATGAACAGAGAAGCTAATTCCCAACAACAGTTGAACTTGACTGCACTTCAACGTATTGACAACAAGATTGTTGAGGTCTTGGGTACATCCACTCATGTCGCTGTCTATAAGTTTGATGAACAATCTCAACAATGGGTATGAACATTAGATCATGGATCAATACAACAATCAATGAATCAATCAATCTCTGACACTTAGATCACAACTATACCACTATTATAGCATAGAAGAGAGGTCGAAGGATCATTGTTTATTGTTAGACGTGTGGAGGAACCTTATGAAAGATTGGTCGTGTTGAATAGGTTGTCGACAAAGAATCTGGTGGAGGATGTAAATGAGAAACTGTTGATCAAGTGTCAAGGACCATACTTAATCTACAAGAACAACACAGAGAGCATTAATGGCATCTGGTTCTATGAGACTTCAGAGCAGGAGCGATTGTTTAACCAACTCAAGGAGATACAGAAGCAGTTGTCGCTGCCCCGTGCACCACCCCCAGTCATACATCAACAGCCGCCTCAGCTACAACAACAACCGATGCCGCAACCCCCTCCTCAAATGATGCAACACATTATGATGCAGCCAATGATGCAGGCGATGATGCAACAGCAAATGCCTCACCCAATGCCACAACAACCAATGCCCCAGCAGCCAATGCCCCAACCAATTCCAGTGCAACCATTGGTCCAGCCTCAGATGTTCCAGCAGCAGCAGCAACACCAACAAATGCCAACGACACAGACACCTCCACCCCAGCGCACAACACCACCTCCATCGAAAGAATCATCGGATATCCTCGCCAAGCTGATGAGCAGTGTGGCGTTGAAGCCACCTGGTCTGCATGTTCCAACCGATCATGTGCCATCTCCCACTGCTACACACGCAGGCATCAGTGTCAGCACTCTGGAGAGCGAGCATCATCAACATCAGCATCACCAACACCACCATCATCACGCCACCCAACCAAACAATGCGCCACTTCAAGCAGCCACAACAGCATCATTGACCAAGGACCAACTAAGAGAGGTTTTAAAGAGGCTTGTCAACGTAAGTCATTGATCGCCCATCCAAGATATTCCTTAACTTACTAACGCTATCCTATCCATTCATACATCACAGGACGATCAATTCATAACTCAGGTGTACAACTCGTACGTGTCAGCATCGAAATGAGAGAGAAAGTGAGAGCAGTAGCAACATCAACAACAGAGAGCGAGAGAGTGAATGAGAGAGTGATCAGGTAACAATAGCAACGACGAATAACGCACTCGTCTATCTCATGACAAGTGCACTGATTGTAGAATAAAGGACAAAGAGGAAGACTGTTGGCGAGGATGGTGACATCCAACCAACTAGCCAGTGACCATGACATATCTTGCAAGACATACTACCACTGGTTCCACATGTTGTGTATGTCCATCGATGTTGGGTTGATATGTCGTTGGGCACAATGATATATCAGGAACAAACTTGTCTTAATGTAATAATCATTCAATCATTATTCGTTTACTTCTTCTTCTTTGCACCAGTGACAAAGAGCAACCGGAACATTACAATCCAGAGTGGCTGCAATAGGATGATGAAGAATGTCCAGAGCAGGAATCCCCATTCGTGTCCGGCAAGCACGCCAATGATCATACGTTTCCAGCCAACTGACCATGTGCCCCACAATTCGAACAGGAGCACCAGTGGATGTGACAGCAGACAGAAGAGCATCCATATCATTCGGAATATCATATGATAGTTGCCCAACAGCAACAATGTTGTCAGTTGTAAAGTTGGCAATGATATGCATATGAATAGATTGGCGAATTGATTGTTAAGCATCATTCCCATTAGATTCAGTAATGAGTAGTCTGTGTGATTTGATTGATTGATTGTTAGTCGAGTTCCAGTGCTGTGTTTGGACGATCGCCAATAACTTACAGGCTATCAATATTGTTTGGAGACCTGCCCAACTATGATTATCATCACCATTATTGATGGTCTGGACTGTTGATAGCATCGCGCTAAAGTAGTTGGCAACAGGTCTGAGCACTGCGATGTAAATGATAAAACATCCAACAATGTAGATGCCCGATACAACAATGATCTGATCATCTATACCAAGGTGTGTAATCATATTGATATCCAAGAGATTGGATGGCTATGAGTGTGACATGGCATCGATGTTAGATATGAGTCAACGATTGATCACTCGGTATCGTCTTACATTCAAATCTTTAGATGGTATAAGACCTAGGGATGCAAGGAATCTTGGCAAGCACAGTTCCATCAGGCAGAAGGCCAGGATTGAGATGAACCATGGCAGTGAACGTATTACGCTGTAGTTGATATTGTTGACCGAGGTAATCAAGGACAACAGGAGAATGAATAATGAAACTGATAAAAAGATCAGAGGCAACAGTGCCTGTCCAAGATCGATAAAGAATACTGCGCCAGCCATCATATACCAGGAGAAACTCTACATTGATTGATCGTTTGATTGATTGTGTGAGTGATTGATTGTGGAATGATTCCGTCAACTGGTACTTACCTGGTGTAACTGCTCATCAGCATTATGTAGATGCCTGAGTGAGGTCTCAATGATCTTTCCAAGTTTGAACATGGTGCCATTGTCTAGGGTGTTAAAGTCATTGACGCTCTGTTGATAGTTGAGTTCATTGTGCAATGGGGAGTTCATGAATGACATGTCCCAGATGTTGTGATCGGCATAGGTGCTGACGCCAACAGAGTTGATGCCATACTTGGTGAACACTGCATGGTTGGAGCGTGGCATTGACAGGGCCGAGTTCCACATGAACACCAGCAGACCAAAGAGTGATCCATCATCCTCCTCCTCGCCAACCTGCGTGACGATGCCTGCAGGCATCTCGTTCAAGTACGATGTGGTGGTCAACACGTTGATGATGTCCAGGTTAGAGAGCGCGCCGTTCAGGCCCTCGGGATAGACGACCAACTTCTCCATGCCACTGTTGCCAACGCGATCCAGGGCGATTGCGCCATAGATGTATCCTGAGCGGATAAGACGGCCGTCGTCGCTGTCCGTCCATCCTCTGCGCTGGGGAGACTGATTGGTGCGTATCGGTGACGCATGGTAGTCGTGTGTCCACACTGAGATGCCACTGATGTCCATCGCCGTGCCCCCATTGAGCTCGCCTCCCTCGCTGGTGATCACAAACAGTACATCCCTAGCCTGCCACGAAGTCGATTGGAGATACTGCAGGAATGCCAATAAGAAGCCAACGGCGCCAGGGCTATGCCATTGATCAAAGGCCGTGGACAACACGAAGCATTCCGTGCCCAATGATCTAGGGGCGCGATTCACTCCCACGACATTGACGCCAGTCCTTCCAAACGATGAGTTGAAGTAGTGCAGCTGCGCGTCTGCGCCAATCTCAATCATCTTCTCCTTTATCCACAATGCGCTGTCCATATTCTCCTTGCTACCAATTGATCGACTTGGGAACTATGTCGGGAGGGTGGTTGAAAGTCTTAGTAAGTTGGTCTGATTGAGTGATTGGTTGGTTGCTTGCGGTGCTACAGCATAGCATACCTTGGTCTTGAACTCATTGGCGTAGGCCAATGCACTCTCTGAGAATGTATTGGTAATGAATGGTGTAACTGTACATTGAAGGTTCTTCTCAGACACATAAGTGTTGGAGCCTGTCATTGTCATTGTCATTGTCATTGAAGTTAGTATCATGTGATGTGACAAGAGTGACTCATGAACAACATACCCATTGAAGGAAGAGTGAATAGAAGATATATTGATAGACAGTGAATGATTAGTGATGCATAGGACATGAGTCGCACATTCCTTAGTAGATTGAGTAATGTAGATGATAGAGACGCTCCAATCGACTCCAACTCTCTAATAATATTGTCAAAGAATCCTAATTGTTGACCTCCTCTTCTTCGTTGTTGTTGTCTTTGTATATCATCTTGTTGTTGTTGGGTATGTGATCTGTGACGAGTCCTTGATGATGAACCTCTATGTTTGAGTGATGATGATGACCTTGACTCGAGTGTCTTTGCATCGCTGTAATAGTATTCATCATCATCGTCATTTGCTGTCAGTTCATCATCACCATCGTCTATATAATTATCATCTAGTGATGACATCTTGATCGAATCATTCAGATATATCACAATGAATGAATGAATGAATGTCATCAGAGTTCAGTTCATTCATTCATTCATTTGAGTGTAAGCACATTGCGCAAAGAGAGCTAAGGCGCCAAGGGAAGTTCAACATCCAAACTCGCCAATCTAATGGGGTGAGTGAGGGTTGGCATGTTGGTCATACTCATGCTGTTGAAGTGATCGCTCCTGGAGCTAATGATGCTGTTGTTGTTGTACACAGGGTAGGGTAGGCCTAGGCAGGGTTGGGGGAATAAATAAGGCCCTGTTAAGGACCAGATGGTCTTATCACATTTATTTGGATTGATTGGTAACATGGATGTAAATACATGTCACCGAGGTGTTTATACTGATTGATCATTCGGGCATGGAAGCAAGCGGGTTTACTCGTCAGCGAGCTCAACCTCGGCAACAGAGACGGTCAGGTCACCGACAGAGGTGTTGGCTGGTGCGTATCTAATCTGCTCGTTGTATGAGGCAACCTTTGGTGCGTTGATGGCGTTCTGAGTGACGACGCTTGGCACTTGGGATGGGGCGTCGCCAGTGCCTCTGATCTGCTCGTTGAAGGCGCCAACCTTTGGTGCGTTGAGGGCGTTCTGAGTGGTGAGACTTGCAACCTGGGATGGTGCGTCACCAGTGCCTCTGAGCTGCTCGTTGACAGTGCCGACCTTGGGGGCCTTGATGGCGTTCTGGAGAGTGACGTCAATGCCTCCGATTGGGGCATCAACTCCGTATACTTGGTTATTTACAGTGGCCAACTTTGGTCTGTTCAAGGCGTTGGTGTGTGCCATATCCAGAGTGGCAATTGGCTTGACGTGCTGGTCCTCTCTGAGGTGAGGTGGGAGACGCTCGACCTTTGGTGCATCTAAAGTAATAATAATAACAAAATGTTAATATCCATCATGTCCATTGTTGTTGATTGATCGATTGAATGTGATTGATTGATTGTTTGAGTCCACTACCTTCCTTCCCTCCTTCCTTCCATCGACCTTCATTCCATCTTTCTTCCTCCATCTCTTCCACCTCTTCCATTCAATCTCTTACTTCTGGCATTGTTCAACTGCATAGTGTCAGCAGTCTGGATTGGTGCCTCCATATCATCTCCTCTCTTTTGGTTGTTGACCAAGGCAACCTTTGGTGCACCTGTATTGATTGAATGATTGATTGAATGTTTGGAGATGTTAGTTATCTATTGATTTATCGAATGAATGAATAGATTGATACATACTGGTGGCATTCTTGATGGCAACAGAGTCGGCGACTTGAGTGGCGACCATTTTTGGAATATGAGTGTTACAGTAGATTTTGCCGGTGGCCTGATGTGGCTGGGCAGTCTTCAGGGTAAGAACCTGCTTGCACTCAGCGCACTTGTAGCAGTGCTTGTGCCACGACTTTCCGACGGCAGTGAGGGCCTCCAATGGGTAGACGCTCTTGGCGCATTCTTCACACTTTGATGGAGCTGACATTATTATATTATTATTATTTGGTTGGTTGGGTATTTAAATTACAACAAGGGGATTTATATAAATATTATATATATATATTTGATTGATAGTATTTATCTATATGTTTACAACAAGTGATTGATTGATTGATTAATTGATTGTTCGATATCATTCATACAACACACACTATCACAGAGGGAACGGACTGGACTGCCTGGCTGGCTAGCTGGGTTGAGTGAGTGGCTTGATTGGATTGGACCAGCAGATCAAGTCAGTGAGTGAGTTCTTTGTTGTTGCCAAGCCACCATAGCTAACATAGGGCAATCACCACCTTGATCAATCAGATATTTCCTCTTTTTCAGATGAATAATAACTAACTGAAATTATCAATCAGGTCCACCTGTGAGTGCCATCTCTCACAAAAAACCAATAACCAACCAACCTTTGGGTGGCTTCTGGATGGGTTTGGTCATTATGAAACAAAAGACATGAAGGGAGATGATTGAATGATTAATGATTGTTTTAGATTTACCAGTTATATGAACAGACGACCAAACCCATCCATCGTCATCAATGGGCCCAGAT